AGCTGATAAATTCATTCATTTTGTACACACTTTGTATACACTAAAATAAATTGAAGTAAAATTATTGTTATTTAGTTGTAAATTACGCTAATGTAAATGAATTGTATATGAATAAATGCCGTGTGGTAAAAAGACTTAAGAAAAAAAAAGAAAAGAAAAGAAAATAGGGCTAGAAATTCGGCAAAGACAGGAGAAATTTTTTATGTAAAGATTTTATTTTCATACATACAAGGGGTACACTGGAGTTTGTTTTGTTAAACGAGGTGAAAAATAAAAAGGGAAAAGTTTTCTTTTTAAAAATAACTGAGAGAAGAGAAATTAAGGAAAGAATTGTAGAGAAAACAGGGAAAAGTTGGAAGAAAGGAAGAAAAAGAAACTGTTTTGTTTGTTGAGTTTTAATTTTTTGTTTCATTTTATGGAAGGGAAAAAGAGATAGATGTATGATGATGTTATCGAGGTGAGGATGTGAGAGTGAGTCACTTGATATTATTTCCTTACTATTACACATATCACTACGCACAAGGAAAAGTGAAAAAAGGTTGAGTGTGACTGATTGGTTTAAATTAAATTATATCCTTTGGGTATATTCTGCATATTCAATTACAGCTGATGACTATGAAGGAAATTTAGTGAAAGTTTTACTAATGAAAGTCACCTGAAGTATTGTTTTTTTAAAGACAGGAGAATTATTTAATTACACACTAAAGTTGAGGCAAATTTTTTTGAGAACAATTTCTTGTTTCTTTCAAGTAGACAAAAGATTGTACGAAAATTACAAATTGCAGGAAAGGCAAAAATTAGTACGAAAGAAATTTGAAAAAGTCTTTTTGGAAGAAGAAATTTGTTTTAAGGAGAAGTAGAAGTAAGGAAATGTAGTAGAGGAAAGAAATGTGGTTGATTGATTGAGTGGATGGTTGGTTAGTTGATTAATGTCGCGCGCGCGATCCGAGAGAGACACCCTGAGCCCTGTTGTACGGTGAGTAATTAGTCAACAATTGCGATGAAAATACGAAATTTATCCTTTTACCCATTTTGCATATCGATTTTTATGAACACAGAAGGAAAAAGATGAACAAGAGAAAGAAAAAAGGCAGCTTCCTTTGAAATTTGATCGTGAACAATGCTTAACTAAAGTATGAAAACGTAATACCTCAACGTGGAGACCGTCGACTAGAAACGTGAGTACAACGACGAGATAAAAATACGTAGAAAACAAAAATACGTAGAAGAAAGAAAAGAACGATGCTTATGTGACAGGTTGAAATTAAATGTTTGAACAAAGGTGAAAAACAAAAGCAAAATATCTTTGTTTTTGTTATTCACAGCTAAAACTAAAAGAAGCACACATGTCGTTGAATACTCGAAGTTCTGGATTTGTTGCTCGATGTGCGCAGTGTAAGACAAAATGCGAATTAGATGCATGCAGCATTTGTGAGGAAGCAAAATGTAAAACATGCATCACTCATCATATCGAAGACGATCGAAAAAAGCGTCTTAAGCAGGAATGGATTGTGCTCAAAAACAAAATAAACAATGCCAAATATCATACGAGTAAATTTGTTTGAAAAGTACTGCGATTTGATCCAAGATCGATTGCTATTATTTGTAGACAAACAATGTGACTCAATGCATAAAACAATAAAAAGTGCCGATCTAGCACTGAAGAGAGTTAAAGACGATCACGATTCTCTACTATGCAGGTTAAATGAACAATTTGAAGAATACTCTGACCACATTTTGAGTATTAAACAAGAGACAGAAGAGTAAGTGAATGCAAACTGCCAGTATTGAGCTATAGTCTTAATCTTTTCTTGTTTTAGTTGTTTGGAAGCGCTTAGTTTAGTATGGACGTATCTGGAAACAGATGATGATTTTCAGCAATGGCTAAGACAGTCCGAAGATAAGGAGCGGTAGATAAATTAAAGCGGTTTTGCAGTTTCCGTTCATGAACTATGAATGGATCCGCAGTTCGTGTTCCTAGAAACAAGAAACGGTTTAGCAGTCCCAGTTCCTTTGAATGGGAACGACAATCCGCTTTGAACTAGAGAATTGCTTAGTGCTATAGTGATGTATTGATTTATTATATTTGCAAACTGAAGATTTTGAAAGACTGGACGCTCCAAAAGGTATGCCCAAAGTGACTTCCGAATTAGTTAATAGACTTTGTTTATTGGACTAGTTCATTACTTCTTAAGATCTTGATCTACTGGTTAAGTTCATCATGCGAACTTCTGTACCTGGTGCAGAAGTTCAGCTCCTTATCTGTTGTAGTAGTTTTTGTCTATCAGTATAATGTTTGATAGGAATACGACTGTTTATTTGATGACTGTTTTTTTGATACCGCGTTTTTACTGACTTGATCAGTTGAATTAGAACGTGCTTCTATCCTAGCACTAATGATCACGCCTTGTCGTCGACTAGATAGTCGTATTATTAGTTTATGAATACCATTTAATAGTTTATTGTTTGTACCTTAACGCGGACGTCATTATCTGTTGTTTTAACCATTATGAAGTAATACTTTCTATGTAAGACTGTAGACTGTTCTCACATCTGGTAATATAAAGAACAATTTGCAGAAAAGAAAAACGAATTTTTATATAGCGTAGTGAAGTTTTCTTTTCCATCAAGTTTAAAAAAAGAAATATATAGGCGCACGTAACCCTTTGCACATAACTGTACAACCTGGACATAATGTAGACGGCCTACTGACGTTTCATGTCGATATTCACTACTCTTCATTTTTCATTTTCATTAATACATCACTATAGGGCACTAAGCAGTTATCTAGTTCAAAAAGAATTATCGGGTCCATTCAAAGGAACTCGGGCTGCTGAACCGTTCCGTATTTCCACAAACGCGAACTGTTGATCCGTTCATAGTTCAGGAACAGAAACTGCAAAACCGTTCTCATTCAATGAACGTAAGCTGAAAACACAGTTCGCGTTAAAAGAACGGAACCGTTTCAAGACAAAATGTTTGAGTGTTCTAGAAAATTTGTAGATTTTGAAGTATCGTTTAGCTTCTAGTTAGGAACCTTTGACGGTTTTACTGACAATGCCAGTTTTTTGCACGATGAATTTGTATGTTGTGGAGACGTTTTTCCTAAAATTTTAGAGATTTTTCTGAACTTTTTGTGTAGGACTGGACAGTGTGCATTTTTTGCATAGCAGGCGAATATGTGACTTGCTTAGAAATGATTTTCTTCAAATATACGACTAAAGAAAACCAATCTTAATAAAAGTAACGATCTTTTGAGAAAGATTTTTGATGGAAAACAGCTGACCGCTACCTCTACCCGCAATTACGTACCATTTCTTTCTTTTCTTTTTGTATACAATTGATTTCCATGCCAATATCGGTATTTTAGTTTTTTCATCTAATGTCCGCCTGGGTGCACACTGTGCCATGGGACAGCATCTTTGGCCCATCACGGACGGTATGGGACCGAAATGTTTTTTAGTGCAGCATCCCGTGACGAAAATTCGTTCTACATAGTGTAACTCTATTGATCTTTGACGTGTTTAGCTTGCCTCCTAATACAGTGCAAACCCTACGAGCTCTTCATAGACTTCAGGAGCTGTTGAAAGTAGAATCTGAGAAAGTGTACGGAACGGTAAGTGCTGTGAATCGAGTCCTGAATCTGGCTGTCTACGAATTTGTTACTTTAGTTTCAATACCATTTATCCGCTAATCCATATCATATTCTTGGGCGCTTACAATATACGACCGCAAACCGGGATAAAGCACAATACAAGTCTCTGTTGAACCTACAACAAAAGCAACACTATACCGATTTGTCTGATACACCCATATATTCTATGGATATTGATATCACACCAGACTATATATGTGTACTTCGCGAATTGGCTTCTATATTTGTGTGCAGTATTGCCGGACAAATCGCCATCTATCATATATTAAGTGCAACAAAGTTATTCTGTCGACGAAAATTTCAGTTACAGAACGCAACGAATATTAGTAGCTTGACAGTAACTCATTTATATATAATTATATTTGAAAAAGATGGAGACAGCTTGTCGTTCTATTCACATTTCGGTGATCTACTGCGTGAGTATGACGTTAAACCAAGGGGGAAAAGGCGGCTCCGGGAGCTTTCCGGAGCCGCTGAAATGCTTTCCGGAGCTTAAGATGCTATACGATGCTTTGTGATGCTATACGGAGCTTTCCAATGCTCTCCGATGTTATGCGGAGCTCTCCAATGCTAAGAGATGCTGTAAGGAGCTCTGCGATGCTACACGACGCGCCAAGATTTCTAATAGTCCACTGATTGTCTACACAGGGAATGAACTAGAGAATATTGAAATTTATTTTGCTGAGTGTGTCTGTATCAGAAAATAAGAATGAAAGCCAAATTCCTTGCTATACATAACAAATATGTGTTAGTCGTTTCTGTTCGACTAAGAATGATTGCCTTTTTTTCGACCAGAGAAAATACATTCGAAAGAAGAGCACGTTTTAACTAGAAGAAACAGATATCAAAAGACATACTTCATTCGATAATAACTTTTTTTACGTGAACATTTCCACATCAATCCATTGCAAATTACCTCATAGTGACAACAACAACAACAGTCGCAATTACTATGACAACTATAAATATTCATTCACCACCAGATGAAGTATTATTCTATGCAAATGATTCATTTTATAAATTTGTTGAACAATGTCTAGGTACAGACGAAATGGAATTGATTAAAATACAAGGTATCAAAAATACAAGAACATTAATTCATTTACCCAATGTTTTAGACGTGTTAAAAGTTGAATGTGAAGCTTTGGATGATATACAAACCCGTGTATGCTTTAAATTAAAAGATAATACATATATAGTGAAACCGGGTGTGGTAGCAGGTGTTGAAGATTTTGTTGAGGCATTAAGAGCAAAAGATAAAGAATATTTGAAAAAAACTGAACAACAACAGAAAAAATCAAAACGAAAGACAGATAATGATAAATCAAAACCAAGTATCAATCAAGCATCTCCCTCACAACCATTGACTGCTAATTCTTCGGCTACACCTTCATTAGCATTCTTATCGACCAATAATTCTCCCTCTACACCGTCAGAAGCGCTTCCAAGTATAAATGGTTGTAAGCAATTAATTAACGAATTTATTGAAAAGTGGTGCAAATCATATATGCCAGATATTTTATTACATGAAAGTAATGATTATACACTATTTGTCAAAGAATCAAATATGCATTTGAAATGCAGTTGTGGTATCGAAATGAAATTACCATTTCAACCAAAAACAAAAACATTTCAAATTTCATCTTTCTACCGACATGTCAAACAGACAAATTGTTCAATGATCAAACAAAAACAAAATGCTAATCAACACCTAGCAACAAATGATCAAACAAAAGATCATGATCAAAGCGATATTGCACCTGTTGTTGAAGACGTTGACAGCTCACAAACTCAACATAGCAATAGTCAATCTTTGTCGTTATCATCATCAATTATTTGTAAAAATCCCCGTGCAAGTTTGAAGCGAATTCATAAATCCTCACTACCAATAACAATAACATCTGGTGCAGGAAATGAAACATCATCAAAAAGATCGAAAAATAGACAATGAGAAAATTTAGACAGTGATTTTATTCTTCTCTTATATTCTTGAACTTAGTAATATGTATTCATCTCCTTCCATTAAGTATATTTAAAAAGATTTTTGTTTTGACCATACTCAACGATTTATATTTTTATTATTGTGTAATTATTTTACTAAAGAACTTTTTGTTTTTCTAGAATAATATTACATATTTTATATTCCAGTCATATAGTAAAGAAAAAAGAGCTCGTTCTTATTCGTGTTTTTTCAGTTTAAACTTAAATAACACTTTGTTGATTTATATTCTGATCTGTGCAACAACATTTGCAAAATTTTCAGCATGATTACCACGGATGAAATTTACGATATATCACAATTACCAACAGATATTCTATCATATTCGAATGATCAATTTTTTGATTTTATAAAAAAGTATGTAGGCGCAGTTGAATGTGAGATTCTAGAAAAACAAGCGATTAAAAATGTTCGATTATTATTACATATAAAAGATCCTTTTTCACTGTTTGATGTTAATTGTGAAGATTTAGTTGACCTCAAGAGACGTGCTTGTTTTATTTATCCAAACACAAATGAATATGTTGTCCGACCAGGAATTAAATACAACATTGAGCATGTGACTGAATTATTGAGAAAATTTCAACAAAATTTCAATAAAGTAAATAATAATGATACTAATTTATCTAATATAACAACGACATGTTCACAAGCAAATGAACAACTAGCTACTTTATTGAAGAATTTAAATGATTTTGTGAATAATAGTCGTGAACAAAATGAACAACAACCATTTGTTCTTGCGTTTCTTGAAGGTATTATAAAAAATCTAAGTCGACCTAAAAACAATTACAAATACAATGAATATGTCCAACGATTTGCCACAGCACTGTATATACTAGCTGGTAGCAATACGTACGAATTTATACGTATTAATTTACCTGGTGCTTTACCATCTATTAGTACTCTGGAGCAATATAATAAAAACATTGATCTAAAAATGAATGAGTGTCAGTTTCGTTTTGATCGATTGAAAGAACACCTTGATACAATTAATTCGAAGTTCGTATTTTTATCTGAAGATTGTAGTAGTGTAGTCAGTAAAATATCGTACGATGTGAGTACGGATTCCTTTGTTGGTTTTATACCGTCACTTCACAAGGGAATACCACAAACTTCTTCTTACCAAACCGATGACTTTGAACAATTACAAGAATGGTTTATGACAATTGATAAATCATCACTGATCAACGTTCATATGGTGGAACCGTTGTTGCCGTTATTAACAACGACGACAGTAACAATGCCTCCACAACCATCTAAATCGAGACCATTTCTTTTAGCTGCTTATGGGACAGATACTAAGTCAGTCGCCATCGACATACTTCGTCGATGGGTCTACATTTATGAACAATGTAAATTGAATAATATACGTATAATTGGTTACTCAACTGATTGTGATGGTAAATATTTGAAAGCGATGCGACTTACAAACGGGTTTTTT